AACCTGGTTTAATATCCCCAATAGTGGGCGACTCTCACCGGTGTGTACCTTACATCCAGCGACCTCGGTCGCGCGTCATCGTCAAATCTCTCGGGAGCTTTCCCCAAAGGGGGTCGCTTCATTCTGTCTAGACCGACTTTCCTAACGAGCGTTTAGAAAATCGAAATGCAAAATATTAGGTATTTTTATTATTCGAATGTTTCGCGAATATCCATAAAATAGAAAGTGAATTTAGTAATCGAATAAATATTTAGATTTTTACACTAATTAATTGTGCTTTAGAAAAATTTGGTCTCGTTGCCTCGTTAATTTTGTTTTGCTTAAATACTTATGAATGCACAAGAATCTGGATTGGTGTTTTTGATATCTTGAACATTGTGATTTCAGAGCTATTAATTTACTTTAATCATCTACCTATATTTTGGTATTTTACTGTATTTGGTGTTACTGAGCAACATTCCATCACACGCGCTGTTATGTAGACGTGTATTGTAAAGCGGACCTTTTAGCATAAATGAACTTGTCTGCGGTTAGTTCACTTGATGGTCTACAAAACAACACAACAGGCTCAGCACTTTGAATAAATAGCTCACTTGCCATATAAACTTTACTATTTTACTATTTAGCTACAACCATTAGCGCTCAAGTGTAGGAATATGGCAATTTTATGAGTTTACTACACCTACTATACCCTTATTCTTTGTTTTTCGATGCAATAAAATCGTAAATACGTAGTAGTACTCATATAAGCTACTTTTCTTATGGCTTGGATACTTCAGTGAGCAAGATTATTTATATGAAATTTATGCTTATCACTCTTTCTAGTGAAGTAGTGATTGCAAATGCATTCATTTGGTATTCGCAATCTAAGTTTGAATTTTAGATTGAGCAGTATTTTGGAAGTTTACAAAAACATATTTGGTTTTTTAGGCAATGGAATTGGCTGTTGATAATGTTAAACGGATAAAGATATGTGACGTGAAATTATGTCTATACTCGATACAAATGAGGAGTATTCGTGAATTTTAGTAGTTTCATAATATTCTTTGTTTTCAAAGTAAATATTTGAAAACTATAGTAAAGTGTGGAAACGACTTTAGCATTAGAAGAACAACCTTATGCAATTGTCGTTACATTTCTCATAGCCATACAACATTTAAAAGTGCACAGATTTTCCACTTTTTACTTCAAATTACATCATAAAAGTTATGTAGTATGTATGTTTACGAGTTGTAAATACTTTTCTAAAGTTATGAGTTGTTAAGTTACAGAGTATTGGAAAATATCTATGTAAGATAGTCTTATAAATAGGTATGAGCTATAAACGTAAGTAGTTTTCTCTCCAATTCTAACAAAATATTAATTTTATATTCCATTTCTGTACGACACTATAATAAAATACATTATTAACTCTTTACCGACTTACTTTTATAGACATACATAGACATGCTTTCAAAGCATAAAGCCTACCTATGCAAATTGTGAAATAGTTAATTCCACATATATTATTCCACAGGGTGATTTATTTAATGATAGATGTAGAGCATTTCCTATTGGTATCCGACGCGTGCGCAGGTATACGACTAAAATGGTTGGTTATTTTCGTTCATTGACCGTGGTTAACTGATGTTTTTGTCGCCCACCGCATCGAGCCTCGAGAATTGTAGCACGTGCCTACGAGCCTACGACCGCTATGCGCCCGCGCAACTCGAAATTACAATAAAACTTTTCTAACACATGCAAATTACACATGTACAATTAAATTATAAATAATTCGCATTCTAATTAATTGCAGATTAAATAATTAACAGCCCGTGAAGCTGGCTGTTGATAATGTTAAACGGATAAAGATATGTGACGTGAAATTATGTCTATACTCGATACAAATGAGGAGTATTCGTGAATTTTAGTAGTTTCATAATATTCTTTGTTTTCAAAGTAAATATTTGAAAACTATAGTAAAGTGTGGAAACGACTTTAGCATTAGAAGAACAACCTTATGCAATTGTCGTTACATTTCTCATAGCCATACAACATTTAAAAGTGCACAGATTTTCCACTTTTTACTTCAAATTACATCATAAAAGTTATGTAGTATGTATGTTTACGAGTTGTAAATACTTTTCTAAAGTTATGAGTTGTTAAGTTACAGAGTATTGGAAAATATCTATGTAAGATAGTCTTATAAATAGGTATGAGCTATAAACGTAAGTAGTTTTCTCTCCAATTCTAACAAAATATTAATTTTATATTCCATTTCTGTACGACACTATAATAAAATACATTATTAACTCTTTACCGACTTACTTTTATAGACATACATAGACATGCTTTCAAAGCATAAAGCCTACCTATGCAAATTGTGAAATAGTTAATTCCACATATATTATTCCACAGGGTGATTTATTTAATGATAGATGTAGAGCATTTCCTATTGGTATCCGACGCGTGCGCAGGTATACGACTAAAATGGTTGGTTATTTTCGTTCATTGACCGTGGTTAACTGATGTTTTTGTCGCCCACCGCATCGAGCCTCGAGAATTGTAGCACGTGCCTACGAGCCTACGACCGCTATGCGCCCGCGCAACTCGAAATTACAATAAAACTTTTCTAACACATGCAAATTACACATGTACAATTAAATTATAAATAATTCGCATTCTAATTAATTGCAGATTAAATAATTAACAGCCCGTGAAGTGTTCCTATTTGTTTTCTTCAAATTCTATTATGAAAATCAGCTGTCAAGTAAAAGTAATTTATCTTAGGAACGAGATAAATGTACAGATTATACGTAATTAGTGTTTTAATGTTGTAGTCTAAATAGTTTTTTAGTTTGCTGAAATATGGTATTAAGTAAATATGGAATAATGGTAGTTTTACGATACAATTCTGAATACCGATCAGAAATGTCTCCTGTGTCTGATAAAGCATGCGTGGGTGAGGACATATTATTTTTCCCTTGAGTTATATAATAATAATTATTATGAAATAGGTAATACGTAAGACGTGTTATTTCGCATCAGTAATCCAAGAAGATACTAATAAAAATAGGTTTTCGTTACTTACTTCAGTTTTCGTCAGTTTCGTAGTAGGTAGTAGATATTATTTGGTGTCACTTTAATAGAAAAATTCGGTCACAATTCCGGGGAGTCTGGGCTATGTGCTTAAGTTAAAAGAGTTTTTTATACTTTTCCGCATAGAACTGGATGAAAATTAACCTCACTTTCTTATGCAGATAAAAACCATAATTATAAGTATGTAGATATGTATCTACTAAGTACTTACTTATGTCGTATTCCATGATTTCTATGGTAAACTGGTATTCGTGGACATTTTTCCGCCACTAAAGTTTACAGCATTAGTGGTCACGACGTCCCATCTCTTATTACTAAGCCGCTATAACAATTTTCAAGGTACTTACGAAATAATTGCGTTTCCTAAGCACGACTTGCAGCCGTTGACCCTTTATTCACTTACTGTCATTTGTTTAATGGATGATAAGTGTGAAGTTGGTTAGCAGTTTCAAAAAAAAAATTCGTTCACATTAGGAACGTTTAAGTGGAATTCTCAGGGTAGAGGGGGCCAGTTCCAGTTGACGTGGATATACTGAAATTATCAATAAAATGCCACATCTATCAGATTCTAAAGAAATATACTTTATCAAATTTATGCTAAGGTTGTTTTTGGCTTCCTAAATTTTTAAAACTACAAGTAATTGTTGGGACGATACACAAACACGAGCATCGTAGTGACGCTTGATTAAATAATAATGCCCTAACAAATGACAATTAATTTGAACTAAGGGACCAATTGATCCCACTGGTAGGTTATACGGGCTAGTCGCTCACTCCTTTATTTTATTTCGTAGGAGATCTCACATATATATTTTACTTGACTAAGAACAGAATGTCGCAAGCAAACTTCAGTATGCTTGTGACTATCTTCTAAGATGCAGTCTTAAAACGAGGCTAAAATAAATTAAAGTCAAATCAAAACTAATAAATTAAATATGCATAACTATTTGACCAACATCCAGCGCAAGGAATTCAACGCAAGAAAGGAAATGAAACCGGTCAAAAGTATCAAACAAGTCACGGAGCGAGGCACCATATTAAATGATTCAATTTTATAGTTACATAGAAAACTTATATCGAATATAATTATATCAATTACATTAGCCCTGTAAGAGTCAAATGAATTTAGTAATATTCGTAACGGACGCGAGTCCAAATAATTTGAATGTAACGGGTCCATCGATACGATACCGTAAAGCACTGGACCTGTTATCATATCTATAACCAGTCTCAAATACATCCGGCAACTTTAATACAAACCTCTTTGTATAAATTACCCATATTAATGCACCTACTCTAGTTTGTATTTCGAATAGAAGTAATGAAAGACCATGAAAGACTCTTTGCTATCTTACGATGATTGATATCTGTAAGGCTATTTATAGGATCAGTGGATGTTATTCCATATGAATATTATTTCTTAACTGTTATTGTAACGTTATCAGAGTTCGTGATACATGTAGTGTGCATGTATTATGCATATGTTCATTGTTTGGTTATATTACGCGCTGCTTTCTGACCCACATCGCAGCTGTTCTATTTGAAGTTGTTTCACCCATTAACAACGGCGACGCGGTTTCGATTAGCGTGTGTGTTCACTAATATTAATCAGTCAGACATTATGTTATTGCTCATATCATGTAACAGTAAAGGCTGGTAGAACTTGTAGCACGGCTGAATAAAAATTGTTTAGTATAGTGTCATTCATATTACCATTTGGCGAAACGGGTCATTTATGTTTCATACGGTTTCATTGATTAATTTGTTCAAAATTACACATATAGTCAAAGGCAGTCGAGGCAAATATGATGACTCAAATTATATGGAGAAACGGTTCAATCTAAGAATATTTCAGCGCATGTTTGTACAACTGTAAACACCGACAGTAGAAATGTATTCAGATATTTTTTCTAGGTTGTATAAAAGTATGTGACATAATGTGCTAAAGTCTGGTTCGCTTACCAACGTGGATGTGACCCTGGGATGAAAACAACAGTTCTTTTTGTGTCGTTGTAAAGTGATGGTTGACAACAGCAATGCCAGATTGGCGATACAACGTGCTCTCGACCAACGAGGCATTCATAGACACTGAAGGGGCGCCCATGCGTGACCCGTTGGCCGCCAGCTACCCGCGCCGCGCTGACCGCAGCAGACCACACCATACCTGCCCGTACACCACAATATTCCTGGGTGGCCGCTCTCATCATGCTCCCTACAGATTACCAGCTCTGCAGAGTGATTCCATTGATCCCTATGCAGATGTTTACTCTGTGGACCGTTCATCTAATCTCACCGATACTTCGAGTTTTGCACGATACGAGGATTGTCGCCCACACATCGATGAGATCTTGTCAGAATCCGAGGACCAAGCTTACGCTGATGGAAATCTGACGGATAATTTAACATTACAAGTTCAAAAAGTGCCATATGCTTCAAGTGTGTTTTATACCTCGGCAAAAACTGAAGCAGCACGGAAAGAGGTAGTGCAGAGTAATGATGTCTTCCTTGTGGAAGAATCCGATTCGGATGCATTATCGTCGTGCACCTGTGACAGTTTTGAACGATGCGAGTTTGATTGTAGAGACTTTGAGCCGTTCTCGGACACGTGTTGTTGCGATCCATTAAGTGACGGTGTGTGTAGTCGAAGTCCTAAGGATGTCGACTCTCCGGAACATTTTTGTGATCGAGTGGCGGAAGAGGATGGTGTATCGAACCGAAGTGATATGGACGGTTTGGACCTTGCCCTGTTTGAACCGGCGCAAACTGACTCTGGTGAAGGCGAGGAAGCACCGGCACAGACGGCTGCTGTATCCGCTTCATCCACTTTGTGCGGTGTGCTGCACGCTCTGCCTGACAGCTGCATTGGTAAGTGACGTGTAAACTAATTTATTCGCAGTTGAGCGCAGGCATCCCGGAACCGTTGTAGTGATAATGGTCAATTATAGTGATTAGGAACACGGTGAATAGAGAAGCCGCGCTATACCGCCGTTTGGTCTGCGTCAATCCAAATCGTATCCGATACGAGCAACGGTGTGCGGGAAATTACTATCGCATCAATCACTGGTGGCATTGTCATACTTGTGTGACAACAGAGTCAGCTATTGGCGAGCTAGTATAATAGACCGTAAAGGTACTTATCATAACATGCGCAACTCTACCTACATACCTTGCCAGTCATGTACTTGATCTTGATCGAATCACTTTGCTAGTTAGGGCTGGATGTTGCGTTAGTATTGTTAAGTTTTCAGGACGAAGTAGATATTCATTTTCATCAAATTGGAATGAAGAATGCTACCTGAAGAAGCAGTTAAGAAATATAATTGCGATTTAAAGGCATTACGGATGTACTACATAGCTGTACTGATAAAAAAACTGGAAACTGTTAGCGTTTGTTATGCGGAAGCTAACGAAGCTTTTATACTGTACAAGTGTTACCTACAAATTGCGTACCGTTACTCGCAAGTTTCTAATTACCGGTAGCGATAGAGGGCGATTGTTGCCTCATGCAAATCCGATGGATACCGGAGCAGATAAGCGAAGATACAAAGATATACTCAGGCATGCAAACATATGGGTTTAGTAAGTCAATGTTCTGTATTTTTCCCGTTAAAGTACTGACACAACGATGGAGAAAACATAACGGACCACTAAGAAACATGGTTTGACTAAAAGAGAGGAATTTAGGTTTTATTTTGGTTATGCAATTCTTAAACCCCTTTAAAATTACATGATACCGACTGTCTACAGCTCATAACTACTCATAAGCAACAGCTGCAAGCGCACTCGGTTAGAGTACCTAATTATTTCCTTCTGAACCAAAATGTGTAATAGCTGTCGTTATGGTCGAAACAGTATGTACCATTAAAATGCTCCAATGGATTTTTAATGGGCTTCAATTCAGTTGGACACGTAAAGTGACAAATTCTGGTTTTGCATTTATGCGACATTTAATCTCATTTTGCACACACTTCCTTGACGAAAATAGCTTTATTAGATCCTTGTTTCATGTAAACACATGAATGATAAGCAACCAAAAATATAGCGCTGTGTCTAGAAAAATATGTATAATATTTAAATTTATGTAAGCCTCAAAAATCGGAAAGTTAGTGACATCTACATCCTTGTCATAAAATATGAACTTTTTCAACTAGGTACGACAAAAAAATAGATTACAAATGCCAAAAAAATCAGTACGTGCCATGGTATCAAAAGATTTAAGAATGAGTAGCAAGGAACCGCGACCGTTAAATTTCAAGGTTATCAGATAAGTTACAAACAAGCGTAGTTTGTGAATTGTACGAATATGGAATGGCATTTTCGTGACATTGTTATGAAGTGGAGAACATTCATAACAAACGTCAGAACGTTCATTGTTAAAAGAGCTAAAAGTCGCGGGACGTGGTCTACCATATAAACAAGTATTTTACAATACGTGAGAAAGTTTAGGGGTCATTGCCGTTAATATTTTACTAGGGTTTGTAGCGCTAAAATCCTTTGGTTAACTTCTAAATAACGGTAAGATTATATTTGCATTGCTATTAAAAATGTTTGTTATATTTTCATTGAATCCGCTGTCTCTACAATGTTTATTTATGAGTATGATGTTTCTAATTTTAGCATATACTATTATTTCTTTCTATAATTTTGCACTTTCTAGCGGACAGTCCTCGTCCACAGCTTTTACATTTATATAATTAATTGATAGTTTACGTAGGTTATATTTTTTGCTCGTGAAAGCGATATCAGCAAATTCATTTATCATTTAAATCAATGCTTTCATAACATTTAGATTATCTAACATTTCAAAATTACGTTTGTTGAAGAGTTTTGAAGTTTCCTATATGTTTTAAAACGCGGTCATCGTGAGAGCGTGTATGTACCTCCGCGTCAGTGGTACATATCCAAAACAAGGAAACTTATGTTGATTTATACTGCATTGTACCAACGAAAAACTGCAAAGTATTGTTATTAAGAAACATTTAAATTGTTTTTGTCGAAAAGTGATTCATCATGTTTATACGTCTATTGTTGTTGAACTTGATTTATGAACTAATTTTGCGAAATAGGTGTTTTGTTTGAACTTATTTCGTCCAAGTGTTGTACCTCCAATGAGTAAATGTAGTGTACAAAACTGTTGATCTATTTCGTGAAATTATTCTTTATACAATTTCAAAAATTAGTAGAAGTTTTTCGCAAACTTTAAGTACTCGAGTGTCTGTGCGATATGTCAACATAATAAGAGGAGATCTTTAATATCTAGATAGTCTTGAGTTGCCATAAATGGCACCAATTACTTCATGTCGGCTTCCGACGGCTCATCAACTTCAAGTCACCATTAGACACCTCAGCGATACCAAAGAATGTTGCCAGTCTCGTACAACTTGTTACAAACTAATCAAAGCCTATGTCAGCCTTCAAGTAATCTTATCTTAATACTCAATGCAAATAATAATCCAACATTCGTACTGTTTAATTACGACATGTCGGCAGCAGACACGTTATTGCAGACCAACACAGCTCCACCAGCTAAATGAGTCGTACGCCGGTCCGAGTTATGATCGTCATCAGCTATAAATCGAGCCTACTATAAGATGGGGACGATTAAATTCAATAACAAGCCTCGGTACCAGCACTAAATCCCGCTCAGTTATAACCTCACATGCTCTTTCAGGTTTCTTATATGGAATCCCAAGTGCATAACGTCAATAATCTCGCTAGACTCGATCAGGGGCTGGGTGCGCATCCTTGTCCAGTTATGTATGTGATGCAATCGTTTGCTTATACTTTCTAATGAGCTTGCCCTTCCTGTAAGCCGCTTCTTGAAGGAAGCCACTTGCGCATGCACTTAGCACTTCGCGTGCAATGCAGTGAGGCAAGCGCAGGATTTAACATTTCACTACACGACGTTTTCATTAAAATACTAGTTTTGTAACTTTTAGATATCAGAATGTCGAAAGTTTTTGCATTGTATTCAATATGAACAAGGCTTTAGTGCCGGCCAGTTTGCGAATAATTTAATAATTTGCATGATAGACACCTGCATTTGAATATGAATAATTAATAACCTGGTGATTATATTCGTCGCGACAAGCGGACCGAATGCAAACTCAATTATTAAATTCATCATGCAAATGACATTTAGCGAAATAATAATCCTAATAATGTTTTAATTAAGCCAAGCAATTAAGACATCCAGCAGGGGTGATGAATAATAATATTAAAATACAACGGGAATTTGAAACGTACATAAGATCAAACATAAAGAAAAAAGTGTAACAGCAATTTATCTTTAATGAAATCATGATGGAAATTAGAACACACACTGAGAACGTCTTACGTTTCGATAATAGAAAAAGAAATACCAGGGCGGTCACCTACTACCGCAGTTGCAATTTCGCGTAATGGCCAGCAATTTGTATGAGAAACTCATAGACAATACGGATACGGAATTGAGTTTACGGTATCTAATTATGTCATAATGGTTATATGCGGTTGTGTATTTTGGAGTAGCTTAGGAGTACAGTTAGTTGTTCAACTAATCGCACATACCTACAACTCTGGAGAAACACCGACACGTGTCAATAATCAAGCCGAAGTTTATTGTGCACGAAGCAATGTTCTCAGAATTAAATGATCTGCACTAAGCCGTATGCAAATTCAAAGAAACTTATCGTTTACCAAAGAACTTAATATTTACACAGGTATGGAAATAGTCGTACCTCGCAATGTAGGAACATTAAGTTATTAAACAATTTTCGCAATGGTGTCTTGTCAGAGTCGTCGGCTATTTCCGTCGCTATCTTAGTCCTGTTAGCTGTTTACTTGTATGCAACGGAGAAAGTCTATTAGGAAAGCGGATCCTGGCATCAGGCCAATGAACATTACTTACACAAGAAGGATTGCTAAGCCTCGGCAGAGATTTACGTTTTCTATTTTCCAAGGATACGAAAATTTTAGTGTTTGCTTTATTAAGTAGGCCCGCTCTAAGCTAACCCATTATTTCGATTAAAGTTATGGTTAGACGTGTAATCGGTGTCGTGTATGACTCAAGTAGCCTAGACTAGATCTAGATTAATCAGTTTGTCATTGCGTCCAAGGTAAGGGCGTTCATTGATTTTTATTTATTTTCTGATAAAGGGAAGGAACGCTTTCCAAATATTTATCAATCTCGTAAAGTTTACAACTGTTCGTTTTCCTCGAGAATGTTACTTCCATTTGTTTGAAGGAAGTTTTACGAGCCGCTGCATCCTTTAACGGCCGAGAATAAAAACGGACCACGTTTCTTTGGAAGTGCAACGTGTTACAATGAAGACATCTTCAATATCGATTCCGAATACCGGTATATTGTTCGCTTCAATTGCATAAATATGTCTATTGGCTTTTTCATCCATCAACAGGGCATTGTCTCTATTGTTTGTTGAGTGACGTGACGTGTGGTTGAGAAATGTAATAATTTGATGCATGATTGATACTAATTTGAACAATTTTTCATTTCAACGCAATCAAGCGACCTTCGTATCTATATATGTACAGTACATGTAGTATTGCGTAATTTTACTAATACCTTTGGTTTGAGTACGTGCATCGCTCAGCTAGCTATGGCATATGAAATAAAAGTTTTAATCGGAGATTAGATAATAGCATTTATCCATAAAAAACATTGAATATTTGATGTTAGTAGTTGGGTAGCTTCTAAGATTTATTCATGTGTTAGATACGTGCGATTGTGTTTACATAAGTTGTTGGCGACACTGTCATCGACAGTTGTGATAGTTTTATTAAAATGCACATAAATATACAGAATTAGATTAAATAAACTTTTTTACTTCTGAATCCGGTACTATTTGCGTATCACCCAAAAAAGT